GGGACTGTCCTGCTCTGGCAGCAAACACGGTTCCCACGGACTAACAGAAACAGCAACTTGGAGACACCGGAGAATATGCGAGTCTGTGCTGTGACAAAACCGTACGCTCACAGTTGCTGGAGAAGGACAGGGTTACAAACCTCAGGATAACAAGGAACGCATTATAGAAACGCTATGTTCATTAATTAACGTAGGATGGAATTAAAATTCGTATTTACTACTGAAGGAAACCCGGACAAACCTCAGGGTCAAAGAGAACACCTTGCGGGAGACTGCGCTTACTAATTAGCTTTACATGAAAATGTAATTATTATTCACGGTTGAAGGAAATTACGAGAATTCCACGGATAATTGAGAGCCTGTTAAGAAAAAAATGTTCTCTTCTTCTGTCTATCACTCCCAATAAAATCAACGTCTTCAGTTAATATTATAGCGATTCTCTTTATCACGTATTCGTGCTTCACATTAAAGTATTAAGCTGGCTCTGGTCCTTTTCCGTGAATCATGGCTACTGATTCAATTATTAAATACACTTTCACATCATTTCTTAATCAAATCGGGAAAACCTTTCAGGCATAAGTTGCATCATTTCAAAATATCAACAGAAAATTAGAAAGAATTTTATTATTATTCTGCCTACAAACGTCGAACCGCGGATCATAGCCTGAGAAACACTAATGTACAAGTAAATTGCCGCATGGAAATTTAGACTTTTTATCGGCAGAGAAGTTTCACATACAATAATTGTAACCGCACCATTGAAATCCTTCCCCTCCCCCTCTTTTTATTTCAGTAGACAATAAGAATTATGTAGAAACAAAGGTTTAAGAGACACAGTCAGAACGATGAGTAGGCGATGAGCAGACAGACCAAACTAGCGCGGACATGGACATCTGCTAGTTCTTGCGTCTAAGCATCTGATGTTATTTTTCAAAAGGGCAGAAATGATACTTCAGGAAACCCCACTGAATTTCTTTAGAAATTGAGAATTTGACTTACAGCGGCAAGCCACTTTGAGAATTCGAGAAGTGACAGTTTCTACCAGCCGTAAGTGAAAAGTGGGAGTGCCAGGAGATCATTAGCGATCCCTCATAAGTTGCGTCGCTGTCAATTTCTCCGTTTGGTCTTTTAGGGCGAAATTCACTTAAAAACAATCGGTCATTGGCCGGAACCAAAATTAAGCCAACTCCTCTTATTTGAACTAGCCTATCCGAGAAATTAGAAGGAGAGGAGAATAGGCATATACAACTCAGTTAGGACCTCTGGCTCGGCAGAGAGTTCGGTCTAAGATTTTAGTCTATCAATTTCAGAACTTGGAGGCAAACCCCGCATCACACACGCTAAAGGAAAATTCTAAGTACAAAATTTTGCTCATAACGACTCATATAGGGATTTGGCTTAATCCATAAGCGGACGGTTGTAAGTTGAGCTTATCAAGTGCAATTTGTGCAAGTGTAACACCAGCTGCTTGTAAGCCGAAACTAAATCAAATTGTGTGAATTTATACAGCCGAGTGCCTTTAAGAAGAGCAATAAAGTGTTGTAAAGGTACAGTGAATTGTGTTGGTTAGAGGTGCTTCACCCTCACTTGTCCGAGCCTGACCCGAAGCCGACCTGAGGAGAGACTCATCGCCACGAGCTAGTCAAACCCATCGCCAGCTTTCACCCACTCACGCCTTCCCCCCCCCATTACAATGAATCGCAAACCGCCTCTAGCGGTTTGCTGGCGTCCATACCATCAGGTCCCATCCTGAAATTCAAACCTCCTGTAATCTCAATGGAAGGAAGAAGCGGTGGAGCCTGATCAAGCCGGAACCAGCCACGGTCTAGCAACTTCAGCAGCAGCAACACCAGTGAGGGCGGTTAGGTGACGCCAAACGTGTAGGCGAACTTGACGGACGGTTAAAGGTAGCGACCAACTTGTGGGGCCTGACGCCTCGAAGGAGAAGCGCGGTTAAAAAGGTGGCACAGCCAACGTGACGCTCGAAGTCTCAGCGAGGACGAGAGTACGAGGAGAGAAGCGCAACACAACGCACAACGCCAGAGGAAACAACTCCCAACAATTGGAAGAGGCAAGACGGACGGAGCTGCATACTACTAGTTCTACTGCTCCGACAGTTCATACGAGGTACACCGAACACAACTACAAGGTCAGTTACGAAATTTTATAAGGGCTAGCAGATCACTCAGGAGCCGTATTGTTGAGGCTCAAGAGGAGAGTCAGGAGTTAGCGGCAGGGGAGCGAGACCCCGCAAATTCAAATTATCCCCCCCTTAGCTTAGGCAGCGCGAGTGAGACTCCAGAACAAGACACAATGCGACCCCAAGAAGCAGAATTAGGGACACAGAGCCAGGCCAACGGAGTGTCAGAAAAAAGTGATTCCAACCCACCAGCTTCTGTAGACAGTAAAAACAAGCTACAGCAAATGTTGCTACAGTTTTTCGTGAGTGTTAGGTCAGATCTGAGTAGCCACCGAGAGGATATACAGGCGCAGTTCACTAGAGTCAAGGCTGATCTAAGTGCTAAGCAAGAGAATGTGAGAGCCGAACTCCAGTCCGACCAATCCAAATTAGAAGTTACAGGAAAGTGTTCGGGCAGATTTGAGTAGCCACCGAGAGGATATTCAGGCAAGTGTTAGGGCAGATATGAGCCAAGTTAGGTCTGACATATGAGCAGAAAATGAAAAGTTACTGCAAAGTTTCGAGGCTCAAACCCGGGAAATCAGGCTGGAATCAGAAGCCAGACAGATCTCCCAGCTAGTTACACAGGTGCAAACTGAAACCGCATCTGAATTTGGAGCAGTCAAGAGGCCGCTACAGAGCATAGGTAACGAGTTCGACTCTAGGTTAGAACAGTCCAATACCAGCACCCAATTGGTAGTCAATGACTTTGCAGATCAGATGCAGGAGCACCGATCTGAAGTGAGCAATCAGATGGTACGACAGAAAGAGAGCCTAGAAAATTTATCGCAGGCAACCACTCAGGAATTAGGAAGGCAATTTCAGATGGTAAACGCAAAGGTTTTTGGCATTAGAGTCTAAAGTACACGAAATGCCAGCCAGGCAAGCTTTAGCCACAGAGGCGCGAGTGGTAGTTCAGGACGCCGCATCTCTTTCCGCCGGACCAGCCAATGACCCTGCGACGGAACCTGAAGGGACTGAAGCAAGCGGTGGATTGGTCGGTGAAACAGTCAGCTGTACTCGCCAGCCAGCCCCCTGTAATGCTTTGACTAGTGATAGCAGCATGAATGAGTGTGTAGTGCATGCCAACACAGAGAAGGTATCCTTGTTGGGTTATCTAGGTAACTCAGAACTTCTATTACCTCTTTATGATGATGCAACAGAGACCAACCCCGTATTTCATCTTCGGAGGTTGGATGAATTTATTAACTTTCGCAATGTGCCGAAACCCCTTCGTTTGGCAGTCGCATGCCGATCCATAGTGGGACACATAGGCAAGCAATGGGTAGAGGCTGTAATGCACGAGGCATTCAAGAAGGCATTCTTGAATACCTGGTTGTGAGATCCCACGTATTTCTAGGTCCGCTCAAGGCATCCCAAATGGCAGGCGAACCCAGTTGTGAAGAGACAGATCCAGTCTCCGAAACGTCGTGGTCTTTTGTCTTTTACATACTAGATGATGGATGAAGTCCAAAATAAGCCAAAAGAAGTATACTGATGTTGTATTTTCCACCACCTACAAGTCACTGGTGCCATTCCCTGTAACACATATTCCTATCCATGCACATGGCCCTTCCACTTTAAAATGTATGCAGTGCAACCATCGCCAACAGTGGCCACCAACTTTTGCAGTGAAGGAAACCTTGTTTCTCCTGAGCCGTGTAAATGTAAATGCTTCTGATGGGGAACTCAGGCATATCAATCAATGCAGCAAGCCACAACGCTCTAGTGGCTACAGGTAAGGGCCATTGCACTCTATAGTATGAATTATGTTCTGTTATGAAAGAAGTGGCTAGCGAGAATAATGAGAGCTGATTCTCAAAGTGACTGTTCCGAGAAGTGATCAAACAAACGTCACTGTCATCACTATGAAACTGTACATCAATATACAATTTTATAATAAAATGGAAGAGTGCAACAGGATGCTACAATACAATCTTATCAATATAGAAGTTATATAGAATATGTCAAATGTATTTTGGTTATTAAAAATTTCTGAAAAGCAGAACACACTATCAGTAATATGATTTATAAGAGAATAAGGTGGTAATAATTTAACCAAATATACAAAATCTTTATAATGGCAGTCCCTATAAAGTAAAGTGTGTTATTTTCAAATCTGAAGAAGTATGGTAGTCCATCATGTAAGGAAGCCCACTCACTTCATTTTTAATGTTTTTTCAGGAGGGTGCTGTGGTGAGTACATGGCAACATCTGTTTGATGATCACCTTGTGAACACATTTGGAGCTATTCCTTCGTAGTCTGGTTTGAACAATAATGTGTGCTGGACATATGTCCAGCACACACATACGTCCAGCAATACAACACATGCAGCCACATAAGAAAGACACATCATAAGACACAATATATACACAATTAAAACATAAGAAGAACGACTCCCATAGCGGATGAATGGCGTTACACACAAGTTTGATATACAACATGTAAGATGATAGATCTTAACAAGTTTTAATATATAAATTTTATTATTCAACGACGAACACACATTTTGTATCATTTTATAAATGGACACTTGATGGTAGGCAGTGCAATGGTTTAACGTGATTGATACACCCGAGGATGGCAGAATGATGCCGAAACATGTAGTGTGAAGTGACAAGTGAACTCTTTCATTTTTGGGAAAAATGGAAGTCAGAAGGTGCCAGGTCAGGACTGAAGGGGTGATGGTCAAGGTTTTCCCAACCTGTTTTCACAAATGTGAGCATCAACTGTCTTTCCAATCCTCGGTGATGACAGGCGGGCGGGCGTCCAGAGCACGCTTCATGGTGCACATCTGTCCTTCCCCCATTAAACAAATGACACCACTTCCACACCTTCCCCATACATTGCGACAAGTTGGTGATAAAATCAAACCACTGAATATACCTCACAATTGGCAGGATTAGTGATCGACACGGTACTTTATAAAGCATGGTGACACAGCAACTAGTGATTGACAAGGTTCTTTATAAAGCATGGTAACATAGCAACAAATTCACTCAATTGCTCAGCAAACACTGGGGACATGGCAGGGGGTCTGACAATAGCTCTCAGCCTTCAAAAACCTCCAGTCAATGACCTGTGTGGGCAGGGCGCACAATTGGTTAACTTTAAAAATGACCTGTATATTAAAAAATTTAAACATTTCCAAATAGTTTATTAACCCTGTAATTAAAACTGTCAACTTTGGTTTTGTAAAATGTGACATGTCATATTGACTTCTGTTACTGAGCCTGATTCTACAGTGCTATATTTATGGAAACCTGGAACTTTTGCCAAACAGTCCTAACTCTTTGTTGACATCTGAGATTAACTGCAACAAGCTGGCACTGAGCTGCACAGTATTGCAACCCGTAAGGAAAACTATACTCTTCAGTCAGTACTGTTGAATCTAAAAATCCACTCTCAACCTTTTCTTCCTATGTGACCTGTCTGCCAACAACACAAAATGACAACAGGATTGTACTGGCTATAGCTCAGTTTTAAGGGACATGTTTCATACACAGTCAGCTCTTTATTGTGCTTGCAGCTCTAAAAGATGTTGGTACCTGGTAAACCCACACATACATTCTAAACAAAGAAAAATGTACACCACTTTTGTTTAACCAATGGGCAGTTTTGGCACATCTGTAATCCAACTGAACATTTTTCATCTGTTTGACAATGAAAGCAACATACAGTCATACAAGATGATAAACTGTTCTCAGATGACGCACATCTCACACTGCCTTATCATATTCACAGCTGGTGAGTACTTAAATCGGCAGAGTACTACCATCTGACGATGCATCCTCGGCCAACTCGATATCCTCTGCTTCATCTGCTTGAGTTGTGGCCACCCCAAGTTGCTAAAACATAAGTGAATCCATGTAATACAATTCAAATAGCAAAACTGATGCTCAGTTTATGGTGCTTACTTTCTTCTCAATTTTTTTCTTTAGCATAGAGAGACAGGAATTATTCAACAGCTGAGTTTCCAAGAATGGCTGTGAAACCAGGATGCTTAAATATAATATTGTAGCGTGTTTGGGTGTATAACGCGACAAATAAATTCACGCCGTCTTCTGATATAGCGGATTTATTCCGTTTGCTCACACTTTACAAACATTTGCCCTTGCAGTGTTACAATCACTGCTCACAATATTCGGCGAGACACTGGACTCTCTACTCCAAAGGCTGATCCGAGACTGACTTCTCCGAAGGCTTGATGACGGCTGGCTTCTTAGCTGGCTCGATGAGGACTGACTACTTCTCGTCGAAACTGGGCTTTTATAACCTTGGCCGCTGATAGGTAACGAACCCTCTGTTATAACCATGGAGACTCCTGTTAGAACTACAATGGAGCAATTGTTGTCTCCTCTGTAACGGTCTATTGTAGCGTTTCCATAGCAGTGACTCTTCTGGATCGCAAACACGTTACAATATTATTACAGAACAGACTTCTTCCACTGTTTCAAACGTGTTCTGAAACTACTCTTTCCTTCTGGTTGATACTTTATGACCTTTTCTGCATCCCACCAGAGCTCACCCTGTCAGCATGTCCCTTCCAGTTTCTTCTCTACTAGTCTATAAATTCTGCTACATGATAACTTTGTACTTCTCTCATAATTTATTTTACAGGCTGAAAGGGTGTGTTCATCAGCCCTCCTCACAAAAAGCATTTCAGCTGACATCAATCTTCTCTCATCAGCTATTACAGTTTGTGATTAATCACCAGCAGATAATGTTGGCCTAGCAAGTCTCAGAAATCTGCAATGCTGTATACATAGAATGAGCAAACTATAAATTCCACAAATATCATGAAATTACATAACAATAACACAGAAGAAACTGGAAAAAACATATTCATTGGATGAGAGTGATTCCAGAAAGGATCTTAAAAGCTCAACCACACAGAACAAGTAATTTGGGAAGACATGTGAAACAATGGAAGGATTTTGTTTTGTAACATCCATAACAGGTTTCAATAAGCCTAAAACTGGAAAGGATGATGAAGATGACTACGATGACAATGACAAAAAAAAAATGTAATTCACTTAAAGTCAATATCATTCAGCCAAGTCATTTACAAATCCTATTCTACTTCTTTTGGACAAATAAGCATTTGCTAATAGAATTCTATTTGAAAAATTCACATGAAATTGCATCAGCAGAAAATTCATGTAAGGGAGAACTGTGTATGTCAGGATTTCTGTAAAAAAAATGCATAACAAAGTGATGTCCCTTTTTTATTAAGCCTTCGGCCAATATAGTGGAACCTCCATTTAATTTTCTCAGTTAAAGGTTTTCCCTCATTTAACATTCAGTTTCATCAATGCAAAGCCAAGATTACTTCCATTTAATATTTTCATCAGTTTAGTGTTCAAATCCACTGCTCCTCATACAAACATTATGCGGAGGCATTATTGTAGCTGTAGATTCTAAACTGTTCTGACGATGGTGGATGACACACAGAATTGCTGTGTTTTTGGACTTTTTCCATTGTCCGGAATTCTAGGACACTGCCAGCTGGTGGTCACCATACTGACCTTCAAGCACCTTAACATCTCGGTGGACCTTCATTTTATCTCGGTTGGCATTAATCCTTTCCATCTTTGGGCTTAACAAACATTCCAACCTGCCCATCATGTCCATAACCAGCTTCAATGCAGGCTCTGTTTCTACTCCAAAAACCAACAGTCCCACGTCTGACACCAGTGTCAGAGTATAACAGTGACTACACAATGGGTTAGACTGCAAGCTGATTATATTTGACTCTAAATGCTCTTATCTTTTAAAGCTGTTTAAATATAATTACCATAGTTCACAGTCTGTTAGACCATTCTTGCTTGGCTACTCTGGCACTCTGTCATCACAGGCTCCATTGCTGGATTGCGGACTTTCTCATCACAGATTCTTTGCTAGCTCATAAGTTCTCCCTGTTTTGACCTGCTGCTGACCGACTAGACAATGCTCAGCTCAACAGTACTTCCAGTTGTTGGGGTGTCTGTTGCTTGGCATATGTGCTTTGCCATGATGGTGCCTCATAACGAGTGCCTCTGTGATATTTTCCTGATTCCAAGATTCTGAATTTTGTTGTTTTCAGGCATCATGTCACAATATTTAATCTTTCCGATATAATTACTTATTTTATCTTACAAACTAACAGCATTACATGTGTAATAACTAATTGGAATTGCATCAGACTTCAAATGCAATGAAGTAACAGTATGCAATTAATTAATATTTCTACTTTTGAAAATGTTCACCTGATAATGGTCAAGAATTAATTGAAACATGATGTGATTTTAAGAAATAAAACAATTAGTTGTTATTACTACAAGATAAAAACATACACCTCTGAACGTTCATTACCACATTTACAAGTGTCCAGTAGTGAACTCTATCCTGAACCAGATGAATTCACTTCACCTTCACAATCCATTTCTGGATCAATTTTAGTATTACCATCCCATTTATCACAGGTGTCAAAAGAAGTATCTCCCCTTCATGATTCAAATTTTGTATGCAGTTCTTGTCTCTCTCATGCGCTCTGCACTCCCTGCCCATCTCAGCCTCATTTATTTGTTCATCCCAGTATCGAAATTCCTCATTATGCAGCTTTCTCCCGTCTCCTGTTCCTTCCCCACTCCAAGGTCCAAACCTTCTCCACAGGACTCTGTTCTTAAACATCCTCAATCAGTGTTCCCTCAGGGGAAAGATTCAAGCTTTACATCTATGCAAACAATAGGTAAAATTATATTTCTGTGTATTATAATGGACAGCAGATAGGAAAACAGAAGCTTGTGAAGAGTAGCAAGCAAGCATTCTCAAGATATGACCTGCTCTCCACTTCTCTGTGAATGAATTTCTATTTGGCACTTGAGGTTCTCAGTGCAGTGAGTGTTAAGATTATGGTCTTCTTCAAGAAGAGAGACGTGACCTTGAGATGGAGGTGTGAATCTTAATATTCATCACTGTGAGAGCCTCACTGTCCTCTTATTGAACAAACCTCCAAAGCAGCAAGCTGGGCTGGGTCTGCAACAACCAGGAACTGCCCTTCAGATACATTGTCCAGCTGACTCGATCTGTCCGAAGTCTGCAGTGCTACCAATGTGTTACCATCCTTCAACCCCAACAACTGCAAGAGGCATATAAAGTTTGTTCAGCAAACTTATAAGAGTAATTCACGGCATTCCAGGGCTGAATATTCCTACAAAAGTTACATCTATGAATCAAATTTATCCCTCTCAAAGATGTCTCCTCCTGACTGAATAGAAAGGTACAAATGGTCCTGCCACATTTCTAAGCACTTCTAGTACAGTCTTTTGGGATACTGTTCAATTCCTTGATGATCTGAGATCCCTTCAACGCTTAGGCACATTTTAGTTTGTGGAACATAAAAAGTCAGTGGGTGCTAATTTGTTTATGAGAAACACAGTAAGGAAGTGTGATCCAGCATCACTAAACCAGATTTAAGTTCATTTTTGTTGAACTCTGTTTCTCAGAACATCCATATGAAACACATGACTGTCCCTGTGAATTCAAACATGTGTGGGAACATCCAACATTATCACGCATTTCTGCAACGCTCGCTCTTCACATCACTTTTCACCATCACGCGCGCTAACCAATCAGATTGCTTCAAACATTCGCATTTATACTGTGCTTGCTGCTAGCCCGCATCTACACCATTACGCGCGCTAGCCAATCAATTCTTCCTCCTCAATTTCAAGTTTCGCTCCGCCCACCGAGCAGTGTATAAAAAGGGGCAGCTCCAACGCCGAGTATTCAGACGATCATCAGTCTACGAGCTAGCCACCCCAAGCAACATCAGCCAGCAGGCTTCGTCGCCAGTGCTCGGTCTTCGGAGGCATCGGCAGGCTGCGCCAGGCACAACTGCCTCGGCCCTCCGGCTCTCTCACACCCGACTCACTGGGGCACCGCGCCTGGACTCGCCTGTGGTCGTGTTACTGTCCGACCCACTGGGCATCTGGCGTAGCCACTGCCTCATAACTCCTACGACCGCGCTCAACGACTAGCCTTTCACCAGCAGCCGCCGCGCTGCGATCAAGCAACCTCCAACTCACGCTGCAGCACGGCAACCAAGCAACCTCCAGCCACGGCCGCACTGCGGCCAGGCCACTCACCACAACTAGCCTCTCTCCTTACCGGCGCGCGCGCCACGCTACCTCACCGATCAAACATCTCAGCAACCACGGTCCTTTTCAGGACCAACAAACTGTTCCGAAGAAGTGGGTTGTCATCGGAGTAATGAGAAAACTACATTAAGACCCCCACACATGCTTCCTCACAGTGTGATGACAGGAGGCTGAAGTATGGATCATGTTTGATGGGTGTTACACCTTTCTCAAATGAAGAAAACCACTCAAATGTTATAGTGCAGTAGGGAATTTTCCCTTTTCCTTCAAATGCAGACCTGAACATGCTGTAAACATCTATGGCCATGTTTTCATGTTTCGCACAGAACTCAGCTGCTGCTCAGCCAATTTACAGTGTGACCACTATTCCAAACACATGTATTGTATTGTATTTATTACATGTTCCAGCACATCCATACAAGGCCAAAGCCATTGGATACAGAACCTGTCACACCACAAGCTTGCCAAATCAGCAAGCAGTCAACAGAACAATGCATATAAATCCACAACAACAAATCAAGCATATGAAACCCTACACATCACTGCAACTACATAACCTACCATGTGTATATAAAATATAATACAAAATTGGAACATATTCATGACACTAGATCAAATAATGGGTCATAGCTAAACAAGAAACTATCCTTAATTAAAATATTCATCTAAAGTGTAATAGGATTTAGTATGTAAAAAAGCACTTAAAGCTGCTCTAAACTGCTTAACATTATGAACTAACTCTCTTATATTTAAAGGAAGATGATTAAAAAACTTAATACCAAAATAGTAAGGTCCTCTCTCTGGTAAGTTGTCAAATCTGTCTGAGGGCGATAAAGATCAAAATTACGCCTAGTATTAAGGCCATGATTTGTGATGTCATGTGATATAAACCCATATTATTTGCAACAAACATCAATAAAGAAAATATATATTGGGACTGCAATGGCAAAATTCCCCAATCCTTAAATGCATCTCTACAAGAGTCCCTAGATCTCAACCCACTCATGCTTCTAATTATTCTCTTTAGAATTCTGAAAATGTGCATACTGTAAGAAGAATTGCCCCAAAAAATAATTCCATAAGACAAAAGTGAATGTAAATAAGAGAGATATACCATTCTTAATGTCTTTGTGGGCATAATGGGCTTGATCACCCTCACTGAGTAACAAGCCTTGCACAATTTAGGCATGAGTTGGGATATATGAGCTTTCAATAGCTAATCCCAAAAATTTCACATTTGTACTGCTTAAAATCACATTATTATGATAATTAACAGAAGTTACACTATTAGAACTTGTCTTTATCATAAATTGAACATGTTTAATTTTGTAAGATATGAGGCTTTCACAGCGGTGACTATGAAGAAAGCAGTCTTCTGGGATTTGGCACCGTGTATATGTGGTGTTACCTGACGTTAACCCACCACCACCCTTCCAACAAGCAAACTGCACTTTGCACATTGGTGCACAGGGCTAGAGCACTGTGTGATCAAGACAGCCGGAGGTGGTGCTCCTGAGGGATGTATTCAAGAAGAACGGATACAACAACCGGCAGATCCACAGAGTTCTCAACCGTCGGCCCAACATCAGCCGGCCTGAAGACAAACTGGGCTCAGTCACCTTCCTTCCCTATGTCGGGACCATATTCAACCATATCAGCAGAGTGCTGCCCCAGCCCAACATCAAAGCAGTGGGTCTGCCTCCAAACAAATTATCCAATTTCCTCTGGCCGGTTAAAGATAGCCTGGGCCTAAGGACACCGGGTGTATACAGTATCCCATGCAAGTGCAGCAAGGTTTATATTGGGCAGACAGGCCGCTCCGTGGACATGTGATTGAAGAAGCATCAGCAGCACACCTGTCTCAAACATCCGGACAAGTCGGCCGTAGCTGAACACAGCATCGATCTGGGACACCGTATTCAGCTTCAGAATACCTCCATCCTCGCCACCAAGACCCGCTATATGGATCACATCATTAGGGANNNNCTCCAGAAGCCTACACAGGCCATGACCGACTAACATAACAACCCCCCCCTCCCAGCTTAAGGGTTAGTGCCCAGCCTTTAACCTTGCCTTTCTCTCCCCCAACACAAAACCCTGCTTGTCCCAGCTCCTTCCCCCCTCTCCGACACTACTGCTTTCACTTGTATACTTGCCCTTCCCCCCTTCCTTCACTGCTCTCACATAGCTGTGTATATTTCCAACACCAGTCTGCTTTTACCGGTTCTCACGGTCTCTTCGCTTGCGGATTTCTTATATTTTCCTTCTGCTCTGAAGATGGAGGTGATACGTTCCTCCAAAACGTCGGTTAACACCACATATACATGGTGCCAAATCCCAGAAGACTGCTTTCTTCATGTTTAATTTTGTTAATATTCAGAGTTAATAAGTTTGAATTAAACCAATCATTAAGATAAGCAAAGGAAATATCATCATTTCTGTATTGTATATTATTACAACTACTAATAACTAAACTTGTATCATCTGCAAATAAAACTGATTTGACTGAGTTCCCAACTGGAGGTACCAACGTAACTCAAGTCGGTGCTTGTTATTAGACTCTCTGATATCTATCAGATAAATAGGATGTAATTAAATCATGAAATTTACCATCTATTTCATAAAATTGAAGTTTGTTCAATAAAATCCCATGATTAACACTATCAAAAGCCTTTCTGAAGTCACAGAAAATACCACCTACAATTTTTGCTTATTTAATGCTTCTAATGTTTCATTAATTAATATATATGAAGCTTTAGTAGTCGAAGATTGAGGTCTAAAACTAAATTGTTCATTAACTATAATATTATGGTCATACACATGTTGATTCAGTCTGGATAATATAATCCTCTTGAAGATTTTTGAAAAGGAAGTTAAAAGGGAAATCTGTCTATAATTAGTAGGATCATTTTTACGACCACCACAGGCTTAATCTCAGCATATTTTAGACTATCGGGAAAAATACCAGAAGATAGCATGCAAAGATGTATGCAAAGCAGTGTCTTAAAACTGCAGTCTTCTAGAACAACGCTACTCAACCTTTCTGGTGCCATGAACCCACTGCCAAGTGTCACTAATTCTGCACACACCTCCCAAAACTGTCTCATCAACAGAATACAGACTCATTAAAATACAGACAGGTGAAAGACAATAGTTTAATAGCACTCTCACTCAATGAAGAGTATTTGTTCCTAATGCTTACCCAAAATTCTTGAAGCATTATCTGCCTAAAAATCATTTCCACAGTGCCGCCAGTGAATTTATCTTCTTCCTGTTGTGTGAGTCCAACCTCAGAGTGACTTGCAATGAGATTTGGAATCCATAAGGTTTCTTTAAAAATATCTTTGGATGTCAAGAAACATTTTATGATGTGTTCTGATGACAGGACTGATCTTCTCTTCATCAGACATGATATGTTTATCAGTTACTGTCCAGCAGTACTGGGGAAACTTATTATAAAATACCTGTGTCTATTCTTTGGGGCCAAATTAATGGCTCTTTCCTTGAAGGCTTTATTTTGTAATAAAAGTAAAAAGGTAAGGTAAAGTTGTCCCTGTGCTTAACTACTTAAGCATTATGCCATGAACATGTATGGGGAAGTGGATGTTCCTTACACACACCTGATACCCTTAGTAATTCAATTCACTGACCTGTTGTATCTTTTAATGTTGTTCATAAACAGGGATTTTGTTAAAGTGTCTACCTTCAGAATTTACAGAGAATTTAAATGTTTCTATGACTGGGTCCAAATACTGTGTTGTGGAATGCCTTTCTATGAATTCCTGCAGTTGAGTCATGTCTGTAGGTTTCTTTACACATACCTTCTCCTTAACTGTACTCCACAAGAAGAAATCCAACAGGGTCACATATGGATATCTGCGGCCACATAATAGAATTCTCTTTTCCAGTCACTTACCAGGAAACACATCATTAAAAAAATGCAGAGTGTTTGCAAATGTGCAGTTATTCCATTCTGCATGAAGACAGCATGCAACTATACCCATTACCACACACCTTTGCAGCACCTGCAAGCAGGACTTACCATTTGCCATCAGTTCAAAACACAGAGGCCTAAGACACCAAACAAGGAACTAGTGCTCCATATAGATGCTCTAGAGAGACTCAAGGTTCGAAGGTAATCCAGACACAGCAGCATCCATTAACATAATAACACAGTTTGAAACTCGCTTTGTCCATATTACATTCGTCTCAATATCACACTCATCGCACTCACAGAGAGCCACACAACTGCAGCCTCTACCCGCACTATCTTCACTGTTAGATGTTGAGATGCAACATTCAAATCCTGACTGATTTAGCGAGTAGTGTACCAGTTGCAACACTGCCTTCAGAGGCAACTTGTGCAGACTCCGAACAAGTGTCTGAGCTACAGCCAACTACGTCTATTCAGCTGCCTTCCAGTCCCAGGTGTCATGCAGCTCATCAACTGTTCAGTGCAACATCTTAAGATTTCACTAGCTTTCTCTGTCATTTACTTTCCGGTGCCTCCAGCATGGTCTGTATTGACTTTTCTGGCCCATGCCTACCTTGACAGGGGTGGAGGCAACCACAGGGTAGATTCTGTTATCAAACTGATTGGGTAAGCATGAGAATCAGCAGAGGTGACCAGCAGCTTGAGTTTGGCTTTGAACTAAAGAAGGGAGGCTGGCATTCTTCATATTCCAAAACTTTTATGCTTAGCAGAGGTGGGCAGAACAATTTGAACACACACCTGATCAAGGGATCACACTCAGAACTGTGAGTCTATACGGTCTCCTCCAAATTAGGGCAACATAACACTGTGTGACCAAGTTATGTAATCACCAACAAGTGTATGGTGATTTATGCACCTCTCTGTATGTTCTGTCCCTCAGAAAGCTGCTGCATCACTCTGGAAGGCTCAGCTTAACCATATAAAATACTGTCATGTGTATGAGGTGACTGCAGACAGGCTTTGGAATGACTGATGACTCGACTGACTGAACACTTTGACAGAGTGCATTACTACACTCTACAGTTCACTGATGCATGCACTCACACATACTAGTGTCCACAGCCATGGTCTTCACTGCTGTTGCTTGACATCTGCTTCCAACAGCAGATATTCCCTCTCCCCTGGGTTCCTAAACTGTTCCCATGCCTCAGCTACCAGCTTCAAACAGCAACAGCTCAAAATGACTGAACTGCAGCTGTCCTCTAACTTACTCACTCATAACTTATCCTGCTTATAACATTTCAGCAAGAACCGTATAGAAAACACCAGTCCTCTGTTGCAATACAATTGTTGCTTAGTATTGGCATGACGTATTTAACTGTTGAGTGTGAATCTATCGGCATGAACTGAGCAGAAAACACCATTCCTCTGTTGCTGTTTAAAGGCTGCTGCTGAATATAACAGCTGGCTGTTATGACTCCAAAATTCTTGCTCTGAGCAAATATTCCGCAATACATAATACCTATAGTTAGTGCCTCATAACTTTAGCCGTGCAGAAAGGTAAACACTGTTGTGGAGCATGCGAAGCTGTACGCTTGCTGTGGTGACGTTCAGAGCTACTCCCCCAGCGGAAAACATTGCCTACGGAGGCCAACTAACAAGCAACACAACGTACTATACACCTGTCCACACTCCAAGACGCTACATTCCAAACTGGTAGTATCCATGCTGACATAAGCTGATAAGACTGCCACCTCAGCTCTGTGAGAGATGATATGACCCCTCTACCATGGCTAGAGTTCCAAGGAACTAACAGTACACATTATCAAAGGTCCCGGGACCATTTAATGTTACCCGTTGCAGAGCTTCGTGCCATCACTGAGCCACTCAAATGGAAGGGTCTGATGCTCCTTCTATCCAGTTGGGCAGCCGAAATTAGGACTGCTAGCCTAACAAATCACAAATAAAATGCTCCCTGTTGTTGCCAGAAGCACAGCTGAGCCTAGCTTTAGTGGGCATTCAGCACTCTGATTCTCCATCCACAGCTAGTGACAATTCTCCAGTATCTGCTGTAATCTCTGTCTGCAATTGTTGCTTGTCAAACGAGCTACCGGTCTGAAACTGCGGTGCAACTGGACGGCTGGAGCGTCACTCAATAACTCATGCAAAGCTCTAAGATGACTGCACTGTATAATAATATCAGCACAGCAGTCTCAACTACTACTTACACTTGAACCAAGAGAGTTGATTCTCTTGCTGCCTGTAGAACCAGACGTAGCATTTGCCAGGGCGAACACTGTTTCACCGAGTACAATCTCAGTGCCATCATCTGCTTCCACAATTCCATGTGCTGTACGTTTATGCATTGTCAGGGTGGAGGCCTGGCGGTAATGACGTGCACACACTGAACAGTAGTAGGGCTTCTGCTGGGTGTGAACCATATGGTGCTTGTAGAGTGACGAGTATTCGGTGAACCTTTTCCCACATCCCTGTACAATCATCCAGCCCTTATCAAATATGAATATGTGCATAACAAACATTCATATTTATAAAAACTGAAGCAAAACCATTAAGTATACAAATAACTAGAAGACATACACAAAATGGCATTTTCTGTAAAGTACACCAAACAGTGAGGTGGGTTCAGTGAAGGGGCTGGCTCTGGGCTGGACTTGGGATCAGTTCCAAGTGAAAGCAGGCCTCTGCCCACCCAGTCCATAAACAACATATACCATGGCTCGTTTCCATGTAGCTTAAAACACATGGAGTTTTACCTCCATACACACTATGCAACTTCACTGTCTGGTGCTTAGGTGCATGGGGAACTCCTCCTTTAAACACAAAACAGTTACCAAAATTGGTGGCTGTGTCAAACAGCAAGTTATCATATGATCTAACAGTTTGTGACAATGGTATATTAATACACTTATTGTGTTCCTGGATATTATCTATTATCCTGTTTCTATTTAAAATACACAGCATTCCGGAGACTGGTTTCTGTCTCTATCTTCAGGTGGAATCTGAGCTAGTATCTATCTCTGGTAATCAGCACCAACTTAACTCTCATTGATGGTTTGTGGTGTGCTTGGTTTATATATCCTGTCTTGGGATGCTGCTGATGTTTTGAGATAGGGACAAGCTCTATTGATTGGACCCAAATGAGTACGTGCTACATGACCTGCCCATCTCATCCTCCTTGACTTGATCATTCTAATTACATTTGGCAAAGAGTACAACTTATGAAGCTCCTCAAACAAACACAGTGGTTTCAGTCCACAAACAAACTATACTGACCAGGTGACCACTGCTTGTCAGAGAAGTTAGTGTCAACTTTAGCGGATAGAGGGTGTCACATGGTCAGTGCAACAAATCCCCACACATGTTAATTTCAGTTTTCTAGACCGGAGCTGCTATTTCCTTGAAATAGCTCCTCATTATTATCACGAGGCTGAGTGGACCCCTTTCCAGACCCACTACTTCTCAGAAAATCTGGTAACACCGAGAACCGAACTCTGGATCCGTAGCCAGGAACTCTGACCGACAGACCACCGTGGCAGTCTATGAAGCTCCTCATTATGTAATTTCCTATTATTCCATCCTTATCAATTACAAGCTAGAAATAAAATGATAAACTGATTAACTCATATTCTTTCTACTAAAAATATATTCACAATTAGACCATTAACACCTTTTATCTGCAAACTTTCAAATAAACTCGAGTTTCAGATGCATATTCTTAATTCCAATTGTAACAAAAAAATTACTAATAATCAGTAAGTGCTTAGGATGGAACTTTAATAGAATATCTGTATACTTGTACCTGCACAGTGCAGACATAGGGCTTCTCACCACTGTGTATACGCAGATGGTTCTTATAATTTGTAGCTGAAGCAAATGCTCGATCACAGCCTTCTTCAGGACACACATAAGGGCGTTCCCCTGTATGTGTGCGAACATGAACCTTTCGAATGTTGGATGTTGTGAAAGATCGTCCACAGCCAGGAATGGGGCATCGGAAAGGACGTTCTCCTGGTAACATACAAATAACCATGTGTAAGTAGATCAGAATGACTTACTGATATTGGACAAAGAATGTTAAGGACAAACATACTGAATGGCAGAGCACAAAGAAAGTCTTCCTTCCTCAGTGCTATGTTTGCTTATGGGTAGTGTCATTAGATGACTATATAGTGTCACCCATCACTGGTGGGACAGCACTGGGAAAACCCAAAATTATGTTAAAATACATGTCACACTGAGTCATAAATTCTGATGATTGAAAAAGTACATTTGGGTGGCCTGATCTGGTAATGCAACAATAATGGTGCCTCCAAAGACAATAAAAATGCTTCATACATATGTAGATACAATTACAATTAATGCATGCCCATGTAGCTACAAATCAAGAATATATCAGGTGATACAATTTACAGTTTTTCATTGTAGACATAAAGAAGGTCAATATTTCTAACACATCTGTTATTAACACTTTGCGGACCGGTGATTTAAATATTTAATTCACTCTGGGGACCGGCATTTTTATACCTACTACCCTAATTTGTGCACTGTTCACTTTAAAAATTAATATAAAATCTCGTAATTAATTTTATGAACTAAAATTTTTGGAGAACACTTACCAATGCTCCTAGAAGTGCTTGAGAGTGTGATATTTCTGGAAACATTCCCCTTTGTGAAGTGGCATTAAACACTTGCAAATGTAGACAGTCATAGTCCTTTTTTTGTGAACTGCGCAAACACAGCATTACCTAGAAAGATGCTTCCCCTTGGAATGTTCACTATTCACAATTTTCACAAGGGTACGTTTCCGTATATCACCTGAGAGTCGCCCAGGGGGGTCAAAATGAGGCCTGCGTGGGGTGGTAGTAGACGGTCCCGGTCATACTAAGACTGTGTCTGTCACCGGTTCTGCCGCCACCATGTGGTCTGTAGCCCAGGCTTTTGCCACATTCAGCAGAAATGCCTTGTATTTCAATTTTGAATGAGGGTTTTTGAAAACCAAAAATGAATTGAAAATGGCACAATTTATAAGCAACAAGGTAACTTTCTTTGTCGACTTTACCGTTTTCCAAGGAAGTGAATAACAGGCCACGTACTGATCGGCTCTATCAACTCCCTTCATGAACATATTGTGATATGTTGCGCAACGGAGAACCCCCCCACCAGCAGTGATGCGGCGGGTGAGTCAGCGCTCCGTCATCCCCCCTCCGCATGGTGACGTAAGACGGCGTGAGGGAACAGCGTTGCTACGTAACAGGCACACACAGCCACTATATAAGAGAGCTGCGCTGCCTGCGAGGAGAGCTGTAATGTGGCTGTCGGCGAGTTCAGTCATAGTCGAGTTAACTTGTAGCCGTCCCCGGAGAGAGTTAGTGCGTGATCAACAGTTCTCCAGTCAGCAGTGTATGAGTAAAAGTGTGATAATCAGTGACAGTTTGTGATAACTGAGAATTAATTGGGATTGTGTAACACAGTGACACTTGTATAGCTCTCGTACTGTGAAACGTGTAGTCTACTGACAACGTGATTTGATTTGCGAATAGGGTTATAAATTGTGAAACCCCGCAACATTGTTATAATTAATTGTAGCCGAGATTTGTAGGTTGTTAAATAAACCAATTAATGATCTCTACAGCGTATTCAGTAACAAAACACGTTACAATATTATACTCAGAAATACAAACAGGCTTCTTTACCTGTCCATGTCTCCTTTGAATATCAACCATGCTCGAATTGTGAATTGTGGAAATTATATTCACAACACGAGTATCCCTCCAGGACTGAAGAAGAATATCCCCTTCCTCCTGAACGTGGTTTCACCACATTTCAGGGATTTACATTCCTCTTTCAGATCTGGAGGAATGCCTCTGTTCACCCTAATTGTTCCACAAACACGTACTTTTCTCGAAAGTAGGTGTTCTGCAGTTGCCACACTGTTATAATAACTGTCTTGATAGACATGGTAATTTTGATCAAGATAGGGTTCCAAAAATGGAAAGAATAGGTTCTTGTAATTTTTTTCCTTCACCAGAATAAAATTCTAAATTTCCTATATAGCCTGAAGTGCTTTCAGTAACTACAGGAACAAGTAGGCCATACTTTGTAAGTTTCCCAGGATTATATGTTCGCATATTGCACTACTCACTGAGAGCATGCTACGTACAGATTGAAGAAATAAAGGCATTAATTTTCCTTTGCAGTGGCATACAGTTACAGCAAGGTCATGTAACTGATTAGTCAGCAAACATTCCAGAGGCTTATCATGCAGGCGCAGGCAGCTACGTGCAACTTGGGTGGTGTCACAGTGATGTATAGTGTGTTGCAACTCATTGTGTTCTAAAAACGTATTAATACGCGACCAGGCCGCCATGTTTAAAAGTGAAAAATGTATTAATGCGTGCGTGATCCGCAAAGTGTTAACATAGTGTCAAGTATACGATGGGGTACCCAAAGGAAACCGAACTAATTTTTTTGTGGGCAGAGCTTTTGTAGTACCGCGTTTTGCCGCTATGAGCGCAGAGAGCTAACATTCCTGAGTCGATAAGCCGACTACCGTTGCTTCAGAAGGTAAGGACTAGTTTCAGCAGAGTTTATAGTGACAACTGTTTTGTGTGATCGTCGTTTTTGCAATGGCTGATTTTCGTGAACAGCGTGCGGCGGTGAAATTCTGCTTTTTGCTCGGGAAAAGTGGAACAGAAACTCTTGAAATGTTAAAAACGGCGTACAAGGACGATGCTATGGGGAAAACTCAAGTGTTTGAGTGGTTTTCCCGTTTCAAAAATGGTGAAATGTCAATTGATGACAAACCTCGTTCTGGTCGTCCTTCCACGGCCCGAACACATGAAAATGTTGAAAAAATTCGTGAAATCATCAAGGAAGATCGACGACGGACCATTGAAGAAATTGTGGAGCTGTCGGGAGTGACTTGGAGCTCAGTTCAGCGAATTTTGACAGAAGATTTGGGAATGAAAAGGGTGGCTGCAAAATTCGCGCCACGACTGCTGACCGCTGAACAAACACAAGGTCGCGTGGAAGCATGCTGTTCTTTGAAAGAGGAGTCCTGAAATGATCAAAACTTTCTTTTGTTTCCTCGAATGAAAAGAGACATGAAAGGAAAGCGTTTTGCTGATGTTGCTGAGGTGAAGGAAAAAACGACGGAGGCGCTGTAAAGCATCTCAAAAGATGAATTTAGACAATGTTTTGAAAAATGGAATAAAAGACTAGACAAGTGTATTAGTGTAAGTGGAGAGTACTTTGAAGGGGATTGAAGGTTTGTGCTTAAAATTTGAATAAATAAGTTTAAAAAAAAATAAGTTTGGTTTCTTTTGGGTACCCCTTCGTATATGTGTGACTAAAGACGGAGTATGGATTGAAGGGATTTACTGACCACGTTTAGACACCACTCGGAACTACAATTACAGCGCCACCATTAATCTCCACAATTCAAATCACCACAGCACCCAGTAAGCCTTTTTGCAGCCTGCTGTGTCTTCCATCACCCATTCCTTAGCAATGGCTTCTAACAGTGGAAATTCTTCAGCTTCCCACACTCAGATTCTATCTTCACAGCCTCCTATGCACAACTGCCTATAACTGACAACTAACTCTCTGTCAGCTGACAACTGCCAACAAACTGGGTCACCCAAATTGTCTCCCTTATAACCACTTTGTATGAACCGACTAGAAAACACAGTTCTTTATTCACCTATTGAACAGCAATGGTTGTACACACAACAATAACATATAGATCCAAGTATAAGGTGACCTACTATTTTTCCAAGAAAATGATAAAAAAGAATCTCGTTTGACAAAAATGAATACCATTAACATCTGTAAATCAGACACAGTCAATTTTCTGGTGACCATTATTTATCCTTAACCTTTATCAGACTGTCACCATACGGCGTCATTTAAAGTACAGCCGAGTGGCCGTGTGTCACCATATGGGTACCCGCAATCCACGCGTGCGCATAGTGTTTTAAAATCTTATTTAAGATAGAAATTCTTGTTCTACTTACACTATTTTTGGACATCATCTAACTGAATGTTGCATGTCACTGAATGCAGAGTCCGACGTTGCAATTCATGCACTTTGTCCGTAATTAACTCTGTTTTCCACGTGAAGCGTGCACACGCAATGTTAGTCTTGTATTAGCAGGAAGTAGGCCAGTGATGGCGAATGGTCTCCTCTATTCATAACGCTTATAAAACATCGCAATTTCAACTATGCACCATGGCCCCTTTTTGCATTGAAGAATTCGAAATAGAGAAGCCGCTCATAAATCACACCATTCAGAATGCGATACAGTTTATTCTGAAGGGACGTGGACGCAAGTGGAATGAGGTGATATTCCAAGAACTGCCTCTGTCTGGATAGTCCGACATATGTGAATAAACAGAGTTTCATAGGGTCAATGTAGGTTAAGAAATCGCCCATACTCGGTTATACAGATAGCATACATGACTGGAGAATGTGAATATGTAAACATCCTCTCCTATTACCAGATTACACACAAGAGTGTGAGTCAGCACCATGCATTTATACTGCAGAAACGTATTGTGCAGAAGCTTTATGCATTTTTGTGGACAGACGCTCAAAATTGGGGATGTTTTTTTTTTTTTGGAATCAATGTAACAATTTTTACAGATTCTAAAACTGGTAAATTACAGTATCTGATTCTACATACTTTCTAGATAAAAGTAGCGTTTATTTCGTTCATCACAAAAATTGTAGAAATAACAGCATTCTGAGTAACATGATTACAATTTTTATTAGTCTACAATGACGGGCATTTAAATTAAATCCGTCCCGCGGCCACTACCGGAATTTAAATGGCTGTCCGATAGAGGTTAAGCACCTGAAAATAAGGTGCCCTTCTTTTTCAAGAAGCAGTACTTGAAGGAAAAGAAACCTCACCCTATATGAGGCTAATACAGTGCTTACTTGCAAAATTTACATACTTTTACAACCAAAAATCACAATTTGAAACTTAGTGTGTGTAAGATATATGAGGAGCACTTTCTGGGGTACACATTCCAGTTGTCATGGGTGTCCAGAATCATTTTTTAGGATAAAGAGTGCAAGTAAAGTTTATCAAGTAAAAGAAATTGCAAAAGAAACTAATCTTTCAGACAATAATGTAAGTGAACCAATAGAAATCGGAAAAGGTAATTGCAGTCTACTAAATTCAGTGAATAATAAAGTACTAAGAATATTCCATCAGAATATAAGAGGA